ATTATTATTTTACATATTCATCCATATTTTTTCGTGTGAGGAATGTGCATTAGATAATAAAACTTTTCTTGGCAAAAGTTGCTGACCATTGGTCAGGATGTCACGTGATTTTTTGGAGGAAAATTAACCGAGAAGCGCTTTGCATGAATTAGCTTGAGTACTTTTTCCTTGCGCTTCTGCCTCACCTTTATCTCCTTCTGCAGATTTAGTGGAGTGTCAAACCTTAGGCGGATTGCAAGGGGATTATCTTCCGGCCTAGTAAGATCAAATACAATAAATTCACCTCTTCGAAGGTATTAATAACCATAGATGCATTTTTCACATCATCAGTATAGCGCCTAATGATCTTAATCTTCATGCGTTAGATATGATCATCGGCACATGATCGATGATAACAGTAAGTAGTCACGGTCAGTGCGAGTGCGATAATCGATTTCCAATTTTTTAAAAATCTCACGTCATTTTTCTTTTTACGGATTCCAATTTTTAAAATTCTTTCTCGTGTCATTTTTTTACCATGTCAGCTAGTACTACTATATCTCATGAATCGCAACTACAAGCAATAGAAACCTTTTTCATTGATAAAGTTCCTTAAATACAGAGCGCAAGAAGGTGATTTTACTTACGAGCATATGTTATATAAGGTTGCTCTGAGCCTATTATCCAATGAACATCCCCAAGCTCGACAATATATCTCTAATTTTGAAGTTAAGTATTGTATTGACTTTAAGATGAGTGGGTTCAAGGGCTAGAATACGTTTCTGTCCCGAGACAATTACGTGACGTATTGACAAACCACCGAGTAGCTAGCTACTTACGCACTGGCTGGTGATAGTGAAGTACGCCTTCCCTTGGTCGTCCTTGAATAGACATATGTTATTGCCATAACGCAACTGGATGCTTACGTACCAACTGGTTGTCAGACTACGTGTCATGTTATGGTCCATCTTTGTTTTTTTGTAGTTAATGGGTGTAGGGTAGTTTAAGCAATGTTAATTTTATACTAACGTCCGTTTTTTTTCTAAAGAATGAGAAGTCTTCCGCAAACATAGAAAATTTCTGGATGTCGATCAATAAAAAACTCAACAACGAAAAAATTCAACGTATAGAGGTTGGTGAACCGCCCATATTAACTGGTATTTCGATCAAACCACTAAATTTCTGGTTGATTATTATGAATAGGCCGACTATGATCTAACTGTGGCTGATGAGGTGTCCCAGCAGATGAAATCATATGTAAGATCGACCACTACCAGAGTTTACAAAAGATTTTTGGGCAGCTGTGAAACAAGCTCGCCGAAACGGTTAACAAGGGTCAGTAACTGCTATCAATCTTGGAACTGGCTGTTTGCTGTATTTAGTTCCAACAATTTTTTTTAATTTAGACAAATTGGAGCATCGAAGGTAGCGACGTAATCGTAGATGTCGGGAATAATCCGTTTATAGTAACCGAACACATCGAGAAGGATGAAGTATGGTATTCACGTAATGTTACGTCTTTCAGAAAAATTGGATCATATTGTGATCCAAACTAAGCTTGGTCTGATTCTTCAATTCCGCTATTTAGGCCACCAGCACATCTGCGAACATGATGAATGTCTCAAATATTTCGAACAGTCCGGAAAGTAATGAAGTAGAGTCTCACCCAACATCTACAATTCCTACGGCTCCTCCATCCCACAGCTATGAAGTTTCAAGTATCTTAAACAATTCAAGTAATGAAGTTGAACTTCATTCAACACCAAAAACTTCTACGACTTCTCCTCCCCCTTCATCTCACAATTATAAACAACCACGATTCATAACTAATAATGAATACTTGGATATGATTTGGTCTCCCTGGCAGTTTGATGCAATTATTTGCGAAATAGATATCGAAGAAAAATTAATAGGCTTATGCGAGAAAGAAAAGAAAGCAAAGGTGAAATCGTCATTAAGCTATGGTATTGTCGACCTGAATGATAGTAGAATCATGGATGTCTTGGGACAACCTGTAAAGTTTTATTTTGAAGCAGAAATGAAGAAATATAAACCACAAAGAGCCGTGTCAAAAGAAGCTTTGGAAACTTTGAAGTGTTTAAATGTAGTATGTATTAACCGAAACACAAAAAATAACTTGATATTGTTGCTTATAATTAATATATTTAGACATCATTATCGGAGCTTGGAAATGCTCTTTCAAGTATCACCATTAATTACGAAAATCCAAATAGAGATATAGTATATTTGCGTCATTTATTTGAGAAATTGTAAGTATTAAATACAATATATCTTTTTTATATTTTTTGTAAAAACATGTTTATTTAACTTGTATTCAGTTTTTTCTTTTCCAGGACAAGGGTATATTAAATCTAGATAGTATCGAATTACAAGAAGGATGGTACAATAGTAACATTGTTGCGCCATTCTTCGACGATTGCGTAGCTTCACTTAATGACTGTATTCTCCGACGGTATGTTCTAAATAAAAACTGTTGTGTTATGTTGTATTTAACTAATTTTGTTCTTGTATAATAGTGGTGAAGTCGCAAGCAAAGCACAAAAATTACTTGGAATTAAATCATCAAAAACGCCGAAATATGACGGAGTCTTGTCATTTAATAGAAAAATCGAATTTATTTATGTGGAAACAGCAACCACATCAATATTGTCAAAAAGAGATAAAGACTTATCAAAATTGCATGAAGCAATAGCTATAATGTTCAAGCTTATAGCATCATCATTACCAGAGAAACTTGCATACGAAATATCAGATTTGCCCATCCTTTGCATTCAATTCCGCGGTAAGTAAAGCTATGTCTGATTGTTAATGCAAGATCTTTAATAAACTTAATTTTATAAACTATACAGGAACAACAGCTGATGTGTACCTGGCTAATTGGCCGGTTAAAATGCGCCCAGTTGTTTTTTCGATAATGGAATTTGACATCCCGGAACAAGTTACTTCTTTACCAAGTCTAACGAAGTCGGCTGTAAGAATGTTAACATTGCGGGTAATTATAATATCTATACTCAAGCGTTCTTATTTATTCTTATTATAGCTGATCTTTATTCTTTTGTAGTCATTAATTCAAGACCTCCATAAAAAATATTAATCATTGTTAAAAAAAATCACAGATTATTATTTAGATTATGATAATACTTAGACATCCCCATTGAAACTGAAGACTAGATAATTATGTTGAAAAGTATTGAAACTTTCTGTAATAAAAAATTTTTTCTCTTACATTTATGTATTTGGTTTTATAAATTGAAAAAATAAAATTTCTTGTTAATTGCGAGAAAAATTTGTTAGTCATGATTTTGATTGTTCTCTAACTTCGAAAATGGAACTAGTAAAGCATTTAAGGTTTCGAGTTTATTCAATGAGACCCAATTCATGAAGATGCTTAGGAATAACCATATGTGGGTCTTCGTAATACCAAACATACCTTAGGGCAATCTGATTCTCTTCGCATAATTCTTTCTTGAGTTCATCCCGCTCTTGCTGTTTGGTAAAGTTATTGGGATCGCCTCTATGAAAGAACTTATTAAATTTTTCGTGTTGTTCACCTTGCACTTCAATCGCAAAACTATATTCTGAGTAATATATATCAAGTTCTAATCCTTTAGGGTGTTCAGGAATTTTCAAGAAATCTGGCCTGTGATTTTCAGATGATGAACCAAGATACTTTGTTACAATTTCTCGACATAATTGTTCGCGTTTATATTTATAACAAAATGGACACCAAGTACCACTTTTCACATTACCAAGAGATGCTTGCCATAAATGGCCTTCTTTGCAACACCATAATAATGGCAATTGATTATTTTTATACTTGGTTGAAAGGCATTGCCCGTGCCTAGTTAATGCAATTTGCTTCGCATCCTCAAGAGTTAATTTCATGCTACCTGCACAATATGGACACCAACTTCCTTGTTGAATACTATTGGGAACGGCTTCCCATCTATGATTATTTTCACAAATCCATTCTAGCTTGATATGTGAATTATAGTATCGATCTGAAAGGCAATCTCCATTTTTTTCTTGTGCGAGTTTACGCATATCCTCAATTGTTTGATAACGACCAATGCAAAATGGACACCATTGCTCTCTATTTTTAATGTGGTAAAGTGTGTTTTGCCATTGATGGTTAAATTGGCAACGCCATGTAAGCGTTTCGTCTATGTTTTTATACTCAGTTGAAAGACATTCCCCTCCCCTAGATAGTGCAATTTGCTTTGCATCCTCAAGGGTTAGTTTTGCAATACCCACGCAATATGGGTACCATGTACTAGAATTTTTAATATGTTTAAACGAACTATTCCAAATATGACCTTGATGGCATTCCCATGTCATCAGAGGTTTGGAATTACTATATACAGTTGAAAGACACTTACCATTTTGGCCAAGTGCAATTTGCTTGGCATCTTCAAGAGTAAGATGGGCATTTCCTGCACAATATGGGCACCATTTACCATGATCTATTACATTGCTAAGAGATGCATACCACAAATGACCTTTAATACAACTCCATAGTAATGGCAATCGATTATTAATGTACTTTTCTGAAAGACATTGTTCACTTTTTAATAACACAATTTGTTTAGAAACCTCAAGAGCAAGTTTTACTTTATCTGCACATTGCGGACACCATTGTCCTAAATTTTTAATTCTAGAAAGTGAGCACTCCATACATGGTTCTTAGAACAACGCCACATTAATGGAATTCTGTTATCTTTATATTCAGTTGAAAGACACATTCCATCACGTTCTTTAGCAATTATACATGCATCATTTAACAATAGCTTTTTCATTGTTTTTTATCGTAGCTGAATCTCTTTTCGCAGATCTAATAGAGTATTGAATCTTAATCTAATTGCATGTGGATCATCTTCTAGCTTGTTTAAATTAAACACAATAAATTTTCTCTTGCGAAAGTATTTGTTAATAACCATTGAAGCATTTTTAACATCATCAGTATATTGCTGAAGAATTTTAGAAATCTCTTCACATGAACTACTAGAGTTAAACATCACTAGATGGAAGATATTTTCACGAATGAATATAGGACTTTATGGTATGTTTGGGTTACATATATACTTGAAATATTTTGATGCCGTCTATTTCCAAAAAATTGGCCAATTTGATTTTGCATATGTTCGGAGGCTAAGCACAGATCCTTAAAAATAATAACATCCTTTCTGGTGAAAATGATTTTACATTTGGAATCCTTTCAGGAAAAAATTGTTGCATCATTCACTTCCTTGAATTCACTTGCACTATCTAAAAAAGAATTAGAGATCATTAAATTATCTATTTTAGCATTCAGATATTGTAATGATGAAAACCACTCATCAGATTTTGATTCTTTCTTCTAAACTATATGAGACTGATACATTTTTCGCTTTGCCGGTAAAAGTTTTGGAAATAATTCATTATATGTTTTCAGCTGGCTGGACTCTAAAGATAACTTATCATTTAGTGGTAGTTTTTTTTAGGTGTATAATACCACATATTTTCTACTTTATCATAACCATCTTCCTCATTATTAGAATTTAAAGGCATGTATTGGAATTATGTAGGTGAAAGTTGAGGATAATAACGCTGGGTAAAATTTGATTTAGCTACAGGATTTAATCTAGGACAGTTATTTTTCTTATGCCCTTTCTGTCCACAATTACTACAATAAAAAGGCTTTCGAGATTAATCATTAAGCGACATTCTTTCTAATTGATTACTAAATTAACCTACAGAATCTGCAATACTATTTACAGTGTTCACAACTTTATCTACTATACTTTCCAATCTATCTATTTTTGCTGAACGTAATTTTTCTGGTTTATGTGATATAGAAGGTCTATCAAAAGGATTATTACTTTCATATGAATTGAGTAATTGCTTCATGTTTTTAAGAGGAATTGGTAAAGAGGTTTTCTTGCTTTGCTGAGCTATCTGTGCTTGGAATTCAGCTTTTTAGTTTTTTAATAAAGTTTGATATTCAGTTTTTTGTTGAGCTAATGGTAAATGTTCGCCAATATCCTCAGCTTTTTCAAGCCATGACAGTAGAAGAGCATCTAAGAACTTTCTACGTAATTTTTCAGGCCTATAGTTAGCTCATCTACCTATTTGTACTATTTTTTTATATAATTCATCTATAGTCATATCTCCCTTCATGATTATTTCATACATTATATCACGAAGCTCCTCTTCTACTGTAAGAAAATGCATTTTTAGCCACCATATTGCTTGACCAAAACGAATACCAGCTACAATCACTATAGTACCATTGTTAGCATTTGATACATTAACAATAATGTTAATAGAACGACCACCAGCTATGCGTCAATCTTCATCCCAGAGACCTTCTACAGCTCTCAACTTGACTATTGCAGTTCCTGGTTGGCCAAAAGCTTTATTCAATGCTTGATTTCCTATTTGATCTGCATTTCGTCCATTTACAGCTACTAAGTTAGCCTGTCTTATATTATCAAGTAAGTTTGCTAATTTCCAATTCTACTTTGTAGTAATCTCTTCATCAAACTATTCTAAGGCTCTTTCTCTTATACATCTTCTCAAATACCCTATTGCCTGATCTCTTCCTGTTACTGGAGCTCTTGCATTATCTGCTAGGTTTATACCTTAGTTTTGCAAGTATAATCTAAGTTTTGCAAGAAAATCAGAAATATCATCACCCTAGTCAAAAAATAGTTACGATATTTCTGCCATGTTTATTTGATTTAGTGGATTATTCTTTAGCACTAAAATTTATCCCTGTAAATTTAAAATATTCTAGTCTCTTTACCTAATCACTAGCTGAAAAACAAACTTTTCACGTAGCAATTTACCAATGCGGGCTTGTTTTTTTGCCATATTACCTATCATTCTATTTACCTGGTTTTGAGTATTAGTTTGATATTGATGAAGATCAGCAATAGCCCTTTGTTTTACCCCTTCAGCAAGTTGCCTTCGTATAATTTCATTATCATATTCAACTTCTGCATCATATCGTCTTCTCTGCTCCTGGACTATATCCTGATGCAGATTATTTTCTTTTTGATGAATTTGCCTTGTTGCTCTTTTTATTTGATCTATCAGAATATTTCTAGCTGTTGCTCTATTATCCAGATAACCATCTATAGCATTTGCTAGCTCAGTGATGATAGCCATTTCTAAGTTAATATTAGGATTATATAAGTCTGAAGAATTACCCTACTTTGGAGAATTTTTTCGTGATGAGATGATTCTAATCCAGCATCGCAATTTCTCAACTTGCTCTTCAAATTTCTCCAAGCGTTTTTCTAAATCAGAGATATAGTTTTCTTTATCTTGTATATCCTTTTTTGCTTGATATAGCTAAGTTTTCAAGTTGGAAATATCAGACTTCAGTTCTAAAATTTCTTCTTTTAAAGCATTTTCAAGACGTTCTATCTCTTTATTAAGATTTTGGATTTTCTGCTCACATTGGATATAATCCTGTTCCAGTTGATTAATTTGTCTTTCATTCTAATGAGTAATATTCATCTCTGTCTGCAATAGATTCTGGATGGATCGATTCTTTTCCTCTAGCTCAGCTTTATATTCTTCACATGTTCTTTTCTACCTTGGGTGAGGTCTGCGGAATGACATTCTTTTTTTTGTAATTATAAAATAGAATGGGAGAACTGGTTATTTATATTGATCCTCAAAAAGTACGAGAGCTAGACTCAGCAAAACAAACATCTACGATTAATATCAATCCTCAAAAAGCTCATAATTTAGACCAGCATCTTGTCTTGTAAAAACTATATTATTATCCTAAAGGTTTGTATTAAAATGTTAAGGGATTATAGGATACTTGTAAAAAAGCTGACTACAGCTTTCCATTTATTGATGTAAAAAAATGGCTTGAGAGCCAAGCAATGTATTAAATTTTTCATCTTTCACCAAAGCATATACCTTATGCCAATTACTCTAAAATCATGAAGTCAAATTCTGTACACCAATGTGATTTAATCAAAATACCATATGATGAAGATGTAGATACAAATTTACTAGATGATAGCCCAATATATTATTATGTACTATTGGTTATAGACTGCGTAACTAGATATAAAGATTTTATTTTTTTAACAT